CTGGGGGCCCCCCCAAGACTGGAGGGATCTCCCCCTATGTCGGGGGGTCCCCCTATGCTGGGGGCACCCCAAGACTGGAGAGATCTCCCCCTATGCTGGGGGGCACCCCAGGACTGGAGAGATCTCCCCCTATGCTGGGGGCACCCCAAGACATGCTGGGGGTACCCCTATGCTGGGGGGCACCCCAAGACTGGAGGGATCTCCCCCTATGCTGGGGGGCACCCCAAGACTGGAGAGATCTCCCCCTATGCTGGGGGGCACCCCAAGACTGGAGAGATCTCCCCCTATGCTGGGGGGCACCCCAAGACTGGACGGGGGGTACCCCTATGCTGGGGGCACCCCAAGACTGGAGAGATCTCCCCCTATGCTGGGGGGCACCCCAAGACTGGAGGGATCTCCCCCTATGCCGGGGGGTACCCCTATGCTGGGGGCACCCCAAGACTGGAGAGATCTCCCCCTATGCTGGGGGGCACCCCAGGACTGGGGGGGATCTCCTCCCCACAATGTTGCTCAGAAGCGAATGTGTCCCCCTAACATTGTTCCCTTGGGTACCCCTGCAGGGCAGGAGGTCTCCATCCCGCCCTTCGACGTTCAGGAGTTGCTTCCCAAGCAGCTGGGCCACTATTTCCGCTATAACGGCTCCCTGACCACGCCGCCCTGCTCCCAGAACGTGCTCTGGACTGTCTTCCACCAGCAGCCTCCCAGGTACCCGCTGCCATGTGGGCTCCGGGTGTATTTAAACAGCTGCCCCGGTAACACTCCATTTGCCCCAACGCCAGGACACCCCAGGGTCTAGGGCTAAGGGGGTAGGGATTGGCTCCTCACCGAACTGTGGAGAGAGGAAAAGGAAGCCCCAGGCTACCTCTGTAAGCCGGGCGCTAGGGCGGCCACTTGGGAGGGATTCCAGTAGTGCCCAGCTGATCAGCAGCGCGCCCACAGCTAGGCTTTGTTCCTTTCGGCGGTGCACATCCGCACAGGCATTGGTGCACATAAACATTATTCCACACACGGGTGGAAAATGTTAGAGGGAACATTGGTCCCCGGGCTTGGGCATCTCCCCCCCATGCTGTCTGTAGGAGGCGAGCTAGGACTGGGGTGGCATCTCCCCATGCTGTGTGTGTGTGTGTGGGGGGGGGTTCCCTGGGATCTGGGGGCCTCTCCTCCTCCTGTTGCATGTGTGGGGGCACCCCAGGATGTTGAGGGGGCATGCTGCACATCCGCACAGGCATTGGTGCACATAAACATTATTCCACACACGGGTGGAAAATGTTAGAGGGAACATTGGTCCCCGGGCTTGGGCATCTCCCCCCCATGCTGTCTGTAGGAGGCGAGCTAGGACTGGGGTGGCATCTCCCCATGCTGTGTGTGTGTGTGTGAGGGGGGGTTCCCTGGGATCTGGGGGCCTCTCCTCCTCCTGTTGCATGTGTGGGGGCACCCCAGGATGTTGAGGGGGCATCTCCTCACAGCTCCCGGCTCCTGCAGCTG